AAAGAGTTTAGTGTTAATTTTATTAATAAATACCTCCCCATTTTCAAAGCACTACAAAATACATTAATTAAAACTCTCCTCTCTATTATGCAGAATCACGCTGTGCTTGCAGACAAAAAGCACTTTAACTGTGAGCGGCTGCAGCTTCTTGCCTTTGACAGGCCAGCACCGAATTAAAGTGCAGGCTTACAGTGTAATTCCTTCACGCTGAAGATGCTTCTCCAGGCGACAAGGCTGGGCTCCTCCTGCCATGTTCTCCTGGCTGGTCTCAGTGCTTCTTAGGTCAGTACTCGGAGCAGAACTCAGGTGACCGCACCACTCAGGAACTGGCTCCACACAGGGTATTGTTGTCTAACGAGAGGGAGACCTGCACCATACCAACACTTCCAGTGGTTGCAGCTTACAGCCCTGGCTTCTGTTGATTAGGGTCTCTTTTTTCCAAATAGGTGCCATGCTTGTGCCATCTTCCGCAGTCTAGCCAAATTAGGTTTAGGCTGGAGGGAGAAAAATTAAAAAGTACTAATCATTACTAAGTAAATGAACTTCAAGACCTCCATACTCTTTGCCCTATTTTTTTTCAACATTCAATTCAAAGTCTCTCCTGACTTTTAATAATCCAATTTCATAACTTAATATAGCACAGTAGCAGCAAAAGGGAAGGAGTAATGATATGTTTTCTTTTAAATTTTAAATGTTGCTATTTCTTTGCCATTTTTTCCCCATTTTATAGCACGTTAAACTTTAGGGAAGTAGTCATTTGTTTAATTAGCATCTTTTTCACTAGCAGAATTTACATGTTTTTCAACTTTTGCACTTAAAAACTGCGAACACTTTAAACACAGGCTTAAGTCTAACGCACGCACAACATGCCTCTGATAATCCAGAGTGTGGATGATAGAGGCGTTCTGCGTCCCACACAGTACCTGCTCTTCCTGCTGTAGATGGTCTACATCTGCAAGAGGCATCATGGAAGGTCTTCCATGAGCACACTGGAAGGGCAGCTGGCAAGATGACAGGGCTTCAATAAGCCTGCAGCTCTCCTCCAAAGTCAAAGGCTCATTAAACTTAATAGCTCCTGAGAAAAAAAAAAGATACAAATTCTTGCACACTCTGCTAAAGAGAATTCAAACCACCCAGCAGCCTTCCCTCCACAGCTGTGGTTTTCACTGAAAACAGGGCAACTCCCAGAGATTAGCCGGGAGGCTGCAAAGGCAGCCCAAAGGCTGCAGTACGGCAGACTTTGGTCTTGGCTCACTTAACCTGCCTGCTGCATAAGGATCAGGTTCCCACGGCCTCAACTTTCACCTAACCCAAGTCTGAGGGATGGCGAGATTATTAGGTTTTGGCTTTTTAGAGGACACTGCAACAGGCAAGTTTTTTTTTTTTTTTTTTAAGATGTGTGTGTGATGGCTGAAGATACAACCATTGCACAGATCCAGAAGTATTAAACCAAGACAACAGCTACCATCAGTTCTGTGTGCCTGTCACTGACAGGCATCAGTACCAAGACCAAATGCCAGCCCTGCCACTGAGTCCTTTTTCACTAATGAGCACTTAACAGCATCCAGAGGAAATCCAAGCAGAACACTGAGGAATCATTCCAGAGGTGTTTGCAACCTTCAGCCTTCACAAATGCACAAGGCCATCTGCAATCTGCCTTTCAACCATGGGATGTTTTTAGACATTAAAAACCACACATATTATCTGCCATTTGTAGAAGGCAGTGACACTGTGTGAAAATAGATGCTTTTGCTTCCCTTTTACCCTTCCAGCATAATCTTGTTAATACGGCATATGGCGCAGGAACTGCCACAAGAGGCTAGAGCTGCCGCGCTCTGCGCCTGTAAGGTCTGCTCACTGCTAGGTGCTGGAAAGCCATAGTCCCTTAGAAGACGTAAATTCCTACTGCGCTCTTTCCAAAAATACTCAAAAGGTCACGGGAACACTTAAACTAGCACTTCTGATACTTATATGAAATAAAAAAACGCTTTTTGGGAAGGCTGTCCAAGTCATCTTCCTGCTTGCTTTCAAGCAGACTCCAGCACTTCCCCCTGCCCCTCCGCAGAGCTGTTACTCGAAGGGCTTAGAGCTCACAGGGATGAGTGCATCTCAGAACTGTATTCTGTGTTTCATGTGAGGGTCGGAAAGTACATAGGCCCATACATGAATAAACCAGTGCAGTACTGCTTGTCCCTCATAGTGCCGTCCATGAAGAGACCATTATCTCCCAGTCCCTCTGAAACACACGGTCTGAAATCCTGGAATTCCTGCAAATTCTGAAACCACTGCCTGAGGGAGGTTGTTGTGGAGAGACAGAAAGGTTAAAACAAAAAAAGCATGAAAGCAAAGTATGGTTTCCCTACCATGACAGGCCTGGGAAGCTAACACCTTCAGAAACGTCAGAGGCAGTGTCCCTCGTGCTCTTCCTCCCGTGGTCTGCACTAGCTAAAAGCAGTAAGGGAACATCATCTTACTTTCCATTTAATAGATGAAAAAGGAAGAACCGTAACAAAAAGGAAACTAATAATGAGGAAAAGCTAGTGGATTATCTACTCTGCCTCTCTCCTTTGAGGCTTAACACACTGCATTTAGTTCATGCAGTCAGCTTTGCATTATCGTAGCCAACCTCAGAAGCAGACAGCAACTCACCTCAACTTGTTCTTGCAAGAGCTCCTGCAAAGAGAAAAGCAACATCGTCAGTTGCTATTTCCATTGCCCACAGCCTGCTCTGCCCACATCTGCGTATAATTTACTGCGTAACTGCCAGAACCACTGGGAAAAATGATGCCCCAGGAGTGTGAAAGGTCTAGGTGCAAGCCCTGACCTCTCACAACTATCAGACTCTAGACTAGTCACCTGGTTTCCCTCTGCATCAGTTTCCTACCTGCAGAATGGGCATAACAGAACTCTCATAACACGCAGTCATCGCACCCTGAGGTATCTTTGAATAACTGCCCTTTCCTCTGTGGATAACGGACCACGTGGATTTCATTTCTGAAATGCCATGAATTCATGGCCAATCACGAATAGGTGCTACCAGTCCTAACTAAAATACAAAGGACTGCAGAAGAGATCTGCCAAAACACTCACGAGATTGTGAGGCATCGGCGAAGAGCAAGTGCTCATGAGGCACAGACCTGATCATCTCCTCCGTCACTTTTACTGCTCTTGGCTCCCAACTCATGCCAGGAGAGCGCATTTTGAGTTCTTTTCATTTACAGCAAGGTTGAAAAAGAGAATCAGATGAATCATCTCTGTTTCTTCTTTTTGTATCAAGAGAGATGCATGGCAAGACTGGACTGATTTCCAAGAGCTCAGGCATTTTTAATTTTAACAATTTATAAGGAGTCCTGGAAGCAGTTATGATTGTGGAGAGCTGCTTACAATGGAAATTGCAAGTAATCAGTTGAGCAATTTCTTCCTCAAACTGCAGAATAACTGGAACAGCAGCTTTTAGAAAGCTGCACTGCCCATCTAGAGATTTCATGAAAACAACTTTAAATCCTAACAAATAATACTTTTGTATCAGCAACATTAATCATTTTACTGTTCATTCAAGCATTTACAGTTCGTTCAAGCGTTCATGAGCAGTAACCTGTTGAAACATCTGCACTCTATACTGGTTTTCTTAGCTTCTCCACTAGCCCAAGTCTGAAACAGTCTCCTGTCGTTTCTGTTTGTGCTGGGGTAGAGTTCATTTTCTTCCCAGTAGCCAGTATGGGGCTGGGTTGGGTTTTTTGTGGAAACAGTGTTGATAACACAGGGATGTTTTCCAGCATTGATAACACAGGGATGTTTTCGTTACTGCTGAGCAGGGCTTACACAGAGTTAAGGCCTTCTCTGCCCCTCACACCACCCCACCAGCAACTGGGCTGGGGGTGCACAAGAAGCTGGGAGGGGACACAGCTGGGACAGCTGACCCCAACTGACCAAAGGGACATCCCAGACCACACGACATCATGCTCAGCACAGACAGCTGGGGGGAAGACGGAAGCGGGGGACATTTGGAGTCATGTCTGTCTTCCTAAATAACCATTATGTGTGATGAAGCCCTGCTTTCCTGGAGATGACTGAACACCTGCACATGGGAAGTGGTGAATGAATTCCTTGCTTTGATTTGCTGGCATGTGTGACTTTTGCTTTGCTTACTGAACTGTTTTTATCTCAACCCACGAGTTCTCTCACTTTTACCCTTTCGATCCTCTCCCCCATCCCACGGGCAGGGAGTGAGTGAGCGGCTCTGTGGTGCTTAGTTGCCATCTGGGGTTAAACCATAACACTGTTACAGTTTAGGGATTTCAGCTGTGGAACTATTTAGCTACCAAAGGGGTGGCACCCACATTTGCCAAGGAACTTAATTGTCTCCCTCATAACAGAGATCCT